TTAAAGGCGAATTACGACAGTAAAGATTTGTTTTTATTTTATATTCATTTGAAAATTTTCTCTTCTTTTTTTTTAAAGATTATTTAAAAGTCTTTGTCAAGATGATACACCAATGGTACGTCGTGCAGCAGCATCGAAATTAGGTGAATTTGCTAAAGTTGTTGAACCCGAATATTTACGTCAAGAATTTGTACCATTATTTACAAATTTGGCAAATGATGAACAAGATAGTGTACGCTTATTAGCTGTCGAAGCTGGTATTGCTATGGCTGGTTTATTTCGACATGAAGATCTTGAACAACAAATGATGCAAACATTACGTGCAGCAACAGAAGATAAATCATGGCGTGTACGTTATGTTGTTGCTGATAAACTTGTTGATGTAAGTTATTTAGTTTTTTTGTATTTATATATATGAAACATAAATATTATATATATATATATATAGCTTCAAAAAGCTGTTGGTCCAGAAATAACAAAAAATGATTTAGTTGGCGCCTATTGTTCTTTATTAAAAGATCCTGAAGCTGAAGTTCGTGCTGCAGCAGCATCAAAATTAAAAGATTTTTGTACTAGTTTACCAGTTGATACACGTGAACAAATAATTATGTCACAAATTTTACCATGTGTCAAAGATATGGTTGGTGACATGAATCAACATGTTAAATCAGCATTAGCTTCGGTTATTATGGGTCTTTCACCTATACTTGGAAAGGATAAGTATGTAGTTTAAAATTTAATAATAAGATAATTATATTACATTTGATTTTTGTTTCTTTTATCATTTATAGTACACTCGAACATCTTTTACCACTTTTTCTTAATCAATTAAAAGATGATTATCCAGAAGTTCGACTTAATATTATTTCAAATCTTGAATGTATTAATGAGGTATGATTTATCTAAAGAAATTAATAGAATTTGAATAGAAAAATTTTTATTTTCAAGTTTTGTTTTGAATGAAATTTTTTTACTATGTATATAGAAAACTTTGTTCCAGGAGGTTCGTTAAGAAAAAAAAGAGTCAATTTTCGTTAGAAAAATTGAAATAGGGATAAATACATGAGAAAATATTTCAAAGTTTGATTTGGCATAAACGATATAATTTTTTGATTTTCTTTCCGAAAAAAAGCATTTAGTCTTTCTCACTATTTATACTCTTCTGATCGCGAATCATAGTTAATTGCTTTTTTTTTGAAAGAACATGAGAACCTGTAGTGTTCTTTTTTTATTATATAAAAGAGTATTTCTATAAATAGATCATCTTTTTGCTTCGTATAAAAAGTAAGAATTTGAAAAAAAAGTAGTTTGTGTGTGACATGCTCCTTCAGATAAGAAAAATATATAAAATGAAGGCATACAGAGAATTTTGGATTGACAAGTGAGCAATTTTTGACTCTTGCTTGTTGAATATCTCTCGCAAATATGACGGTATAGGGATGAAAATTTCTGTCGATTTGAATATACCCGTGCCGAGGTTGATTTTCGAAGACGAGGCTTACAATTGAAAAAATCAATACAGGTATCAATTACAGTCCTGCGAAACAATCCGGAATTTTTAAATCTTTTTATCAAAATATGTCATACACTTTTAATTTTTTTATTAATAACAAATATCTTAGTGTTCAAAATAAACAGCAGGAATGAACTAAACTGTCACTCGAGTAGAAAAGACGACTGAATACATGAGCTTGAAAAATGATAGAATGAGATTCTATGCAATGCATTTCATAAGTAATCTTAAGAACGATAAAACGATTTTCCTCAATGTTATTCTAAA